TCCATAAACCCATCGACAGAGATGCCGCCTCCGGCCAGCGCATCGCCCTCCGTATTGTACCCTTCCCTTCCCAACAAGTCGGCCTTCCCGACGGTCTTGAGAACTTCTTCTCCATCACCGACATCGAAACCGCCGGCAAGCTCTACCCGGCGATCTCCATGCATCATCGTCACCATGCTCACTCAGGTCAACTCAATTCTCTCCAAACTCAGTCTCAAACTCACCAAATCAACCCTTATGTGTGTGTGGTGGCCTCTGCCATTGTGAATTTTGGATTGTTTGCAAAAAGGATCGCAAGCGAACCCTAAAACCAGAAAACGCTGATATAGATACCAACGAAGTATAAAAATTAAAACACAATTACACATCAGTGGTGGCCTCTGCAATGGTGATAGGATTGAGGGTACGGTTTTTCTAAGAAATTGGAGTAGTAGATGAGTTGTAGGTTATTGGATGAGTTGAAGGCTTCGTCTCGGTTACTGGGGCAACTGGTGGTGATGGCGGTTGAATAGAGCTAGCTCTGTGTGCTTCAACTAAAAATTCAGAGGACCCATGATCGGCGACCTCCATGAACATCTCTGGTGACGTCAACTCTACTAGTATCACTTTCTTCAATTCTCTCTCTCCATATACATATATATGTATATATATGTATGATTTGGAATTTTGATTTCAGATAAAAAGGTATGTGTATCATGATGTTATAAGGTTAGTGATGCTGAGAAATTGGCGGACTGTACTCTTGTTCAATTCATTTAATGAAAGGGAATATTAATTGATTTATTTTTTCTCCCGGGGGATTAATTCAAGGTTTAGAATATTATTTGATTTAAAAAATAATTTTTGGTTTTTAATTTAATATTAAATAGTAAGATTAAAATTGTCATTTCACAGTCAGATTAATAGGTCAGACACGAATATTAGTACAATGTGAATACTTTTTAAATATATAAGAATTTTCTGAAACATGTTTAGATTTTATTAAAAGTAATAGGAATTTTATAATTTTAACCCAAAATTAAAATAGCAATGGACATTATATATAAGTTATTCAGTAATGGTCTATACTAAGTAATGCCTGGTTGGTGCTCAAAACTTAATTTGGCATGAGACTATGGACTCTAAAGTTGGTCCTTATACCTTCGCAACAATTCAGAAATTATTTTACCATTCCGAGAAGAATTTGCTAGATATGTGGCAAGTTAAGGCTTGGATTGGTAACTCCTCCTATCATTATCTAGTCAAGTATAAGTCAGTATCTAGTATCTCGATCTATTTAAGTCGCTCAACGCTACTTAATAGTAGTAATACATTAACAATATTTTGAAAAAGTGATTGTACTTTTCATAAAGTAAATTTATTTATTTAAAAAAAATTATATTTTTGTAAATTTGGAGGTATTGGCTCAAGCAAGTAAGTGTTATAAATGGAACTTGTTCTATATTGGATTAAACGGATTTAGATAGGATTGAAATGTATATAAATGGGTGAATATGCAGCACTATCCAACAGTCTGAACTTTTGGGTAAATGGGTAAGCGTCTACCCGTAACAGTTGTCACGCCAAACGTCCGGCTTCGAGAATGTCCGTATTTGGTCCTGAGTAGGCAGGGTGGCCCGACCGCAACGAGGGTGTTGCGTGGGTTCAGGTGGGGAGAATGTTACAAGTGAGACTTGTCCCACATTAGATTTAGATGGGGTTGAAGCTTGTATAAATGGGTGGGTACGCAACAGTTGGGTAAATGGGCAAGCGTCCACCCGTAACAGTAACAGTAAGTTACTTAACTCTGGTGCCTTATAAAGTATCAGGTTTAAGATTGGATTACCCTTAATGCAAATAATTTTTTTCCCTTAGAACCTAAGTCACACAATTCATCTTAGCGGGTGTCGCTCTCACGCTCTGAGAGCGGACTTTGATTCAAATTCTTACTATTTATGACTTAATTCTGTTCTCACACTCTCACTTTCGAATTCGCTCTTACTTCTGCTCCCGTTTTATATAACTTAACGTAGAACTGTACAACGAAGGGATCACTCTGAATCCCACCACATGTTTCCTATGGCCGAAGTCTTGACCCGAATGGCGTGGTCCTTTATTACTTAGTGGTCAAGAATTTAAGAAAAACTAGACAGACATCATAACGGAAGTGGAAGTTGAATCATGGTCTCTTCTTCCTTGATGGGTGTCATGTGGACAATTACACTCTTTTTTCACTTACACTCCATCAGTTAGCTGTTACAGAGCTGGCCATGGGACTATATTCACAGTCATGCAACGCAGGCCGCGTGGTGATCAAGTGGTAGGGAAGAAGGTTCTACCTGAATCAGTTAGCTGTAGAATTATGAACAGTTAAAAATATTCCTAAAAATGTTTTTTTAATTTTTTTATTTTTTATAGCAAAACAAACTCAAACACATGCCTTTACTGTTGCTCAAAACCTTAACCTCCTCTTTGAAGAGGCCAATTTGTATCCGTTGAACTATTACCCATTTGATCCATGATGAAGTTCATATTATTGGTTAGTTTTGTTGTGTTCACCAAGAAAATATCCGCACCTTGATCTAGTCAATTTTGATTGGGTCGCATCCCACTAATTATGCGTGTAACAAAATGGCTACAGTTTAATGGGAATCCATCCAACCACTGGTCATAAATTTACAATCCAAATAAATAAAACTTCTTGAGTTAAGGGACTATGTTTAGTAAAAGGGCAGTTAAGAATAAATTTGTCAGATCAATTACAAATAACAAAATTTGAAAAAAATAGAAAACTATCAAATATGAGTAATTTATAAAGAGTAAATTACACTAATCTTTTCAAAGGTTTGGATAATATACACTAACTTCCATTTTTGTTTGTCAAATTACACTGATCAGTTCTGTCAGACTTGTCAGATTTCTAATTAAGTCTCCATCCTTATATATATATATATATATATATATATATATATATATATATATATATATATATATATTGTATTTATTGCAATAAATATGTTTTCCATGGGTAGAGTTTGAATTTGAGAGGCACAAAATTGTATTGTTCGTTGTTGATTGTATTAATTGGTCGTTAACGAATAGAAGATATGTGTTCTTTACATATAAATTTCAAAGGACATAAGTGTAATTTGACAAACAAGGAAGAAGTCTATGTATATCGAGGAAACCTCATGCCAGGGAGGCCAGTGTAATTTACCCATTTATAATCGAGTTAATTTCATTTACATAGCTAGATTGCCTAAATAAAAGAGACATCTCCTCTAGTTTCAAACATATGATGACTTGAAAGTGTTAAATGATTGTTATACTTATTGTAAAATATTTGTCTCTTTATGTGCAAAATAATCTTTTCAAGTTTTCTAAAGGGTTCTTCAGTTTTAAGTAAGTATTAAATATGATATCACTAATCAACAAAAGTGACCGATTTTATTATAGAAAAAGTTAGGGTATGCTTGGTTTGTAATTTTGAAAACAGATTTTTGTTCTTAGAAAACTGAAAATAGAAAATTGTACAAAAAATTCTGCATGGTTTAGTTTTCTGAAATTTATTTTATGAAAACTGAGTTATAAAAATATCTGTTTTTTTTTCCTAGTTGGGTATTCACACACACATGCCTCCACAGAAGCTCGAATCCCTGACTTCTCTTTGAGAAGTAGGAGCTTGATACCATTAGGCCACTGGCCTATTGGTATAAAAATATCTGTTTTCAAATAATTGCCTTTTATAGTTTTTTGAAAACATTTTTCTATTATCTGAATTCTTGAGAACTGTTTTCAAAGTTACAAACCAATCAAGTCGTTAATGTTACTTAGATTTGTACCAAAAATGAAGTTAGTGTTCTATTTGAAACTAGACGAAGTCTTTATTATTTAGACAATCTGCTAAGGTGATATCCCTTAGAGCATCTCCAATGCCCTCTTACCTCTCAAACTCAAAATATAGCAAGTAGATAAAAATAAGGCACTCAAATGATCTCTCAAAAGACCTCACATATTTTGAAATTGTAAAAAATATTGACAAATGTAAAAGCTTTCAAACTCAAAATTAAAATATATCAAGTGAATAAAAATTATAAATTAAATACAAATAAAGAAAATCCGATCACTTTACCTTTTTTTTTTTTTTTTTTCTTTTTTTCAAAAGTTAGATCACTTTAACCTTTTTGCATACGTTTACGCATGTATTTTTCGAACGTAAGCACCATTATAGACTGAGCTTTGTCTTCGCGTGCGGTGCGGTGGGCCAGGGGCAGAGCTAGGATTTTATTTTAGAGGGGTACAATACACTTGTTAATTTTTTTTAATAAATATGACAATATAATTTTTTTAAATCAGAAAGACAAATAAGAAAAAAATAGTTGTAAAATAATATGTTAAATAAAAACCGTAAAAAAATATATAGTTACAAATATAAGAATCAAAATATTAATTAATAATATTTTAATTAAATACAATCACAAATGTCATCGATAAAAAGAAATAAGTTTTTAAAAAATAGAAAAATACATAATTATACATAAGTGAAAAAAGAATTTTTTTGAAAAAAGAAACAAAAGTTAGAAAAGGAAAAATATATTGTATACTTGAATAAGGGATATTTGTAATTTTTTTTTTTTCAAAAGGAAATTAAAAGAATTTGAAAATTTGAGAGGGACGCTGTTTAAAATTACTATGTAAGTATATATATATCCCAAAAATATGTATCTATGTATAGTAGGTTGGAGCGGGGGGAGGGGGGGAGTGCCCCTCTGGGCCTTAATTGGCTCCGCCCCTGCGGTGGGTCCCACCCATGTTATACATAGTAAAAGGAACAAAAATCTGAGCCCATGAAGTGCATTCTCATAAATCACTTACATATGAACGCGTGTGTGTGTGTATAGAGAGAGAGAGATGTAGTTTAGTAGAAGGTATACGTGTATTAGCTAGTGCAAGAAATTAAAAGTGGAAGGGAAGAGGGTGATTAATTGTTCAAGAGCTTGTGTTGTCTTCATGGTGACAATATGGTGGTGGTTCTTATGTGGAATGCAGGGAGTGTTGGGGTTCTCACAGAAGCTCAGTGCCGTGAAGAGATGAACATATTGGCGAATGCATGCAAGCCATTGCTGACAGGAAATCCCGCAACCCCATTTTGCTGTGAAAGAGTGAGGGTGACCCATGTTGAATGTGTGTGTCCTTTTATTACACCAAAACTGGCAGCTCTCATTGATGTCAATTATGCTATCAAAGTCATTCAGGGTTGTGGACGCCAAGTCCCTAGCCATTACAAGTGTGGAAGTAAGCTCTCTCTCTCTCTCTCTCTATATATATATATAATGTGTGTGTGTGTATATCTCTTTCTAGGAAGAGAGATTTGACGTGTGATTTTTTTTTGGCCCTCTTTGGTGCAGATATCACTACTCCTGAGGTAGACAAAGTGATGTTCATAGGAGCATTCTATTGCCAGTATTGATATAATAAAGATTTGAATATTTGTTTTCTATAAGTATGCTTTAATTTTGTGTGTGTGTGTGTGAGGGAGAGAGAGCATTCCTTAAAAGTGGTAAACAATGTTCTATCCCCTGTCATATACCTAGAGCAACCACTATCAAAGTACTAACCACATAGACCAAGTGCTCTAAGTGTAGTGTGCATGGAAAGACATTTAAAATTCTCTTTCTTTACCCAAACAATTTTAGATTCATTATGCAATGATTTCCTTATTAATATATGCAAAGTGTTACAAGGCTCAATAATCCTAATCCTCTTCTTCCTCAAGTTTGAGCCCTCTAGATTTTTCAATTTCTTTCCTGGTTTAATTTTTTTTTCTGACACTTACACTTGATATGCCATTTTTCACCTCAAAAATGACATGTTGAAATAAATTTGGGAGAAGTAGAGATAACACAATGTTTGGTTTCAACTTTCACGAAAACATCTTTCAATTTTTGAAAAAAACAAATCCTTTGAAGTTGAAGCCAATTCTTTGTTATAACTAATATTCTCAACCACTCTTTTCAAGTTATCAATTTTGCAAGTGTCACATTCAACTTTCTGAAAAGACTATTTTGATTTAACAAATTCACTACTCAAATTATTAATTCTAAGTTTCAGTGATTTATTAAACAAATTTACCTTCTTAAGTTTCTTTTCCAAAAAATCAATTTTATGAAGTAGATTCAAATTTTTATGGCCAATTTCTTCTAAATTCTTATTAGGGACAGAAACTTCTAACTTATAAATATCTCTTTCAAGTTCTGCAAGATTCAATTTCTCTAACTAATTTTCAAAATCATTTTTAAACTTAGACCACTCAATTTGCATGCTTGTGACAGAATAAAAAACAGGAGTTAAAGGCAGCACATCAACAACAGATGAATTTTCAGACATGATGCAAAAATCAACAATCAATTAACAAATATAATCTGCTCTGTATATCGAGTATCCCACTCTGATACCAAATTGTGAAAATAGAGTTACGCGGGGTACGAAAACTGTTAGTTGATTTCAATTGTGATTAACTCCTTTAATGACCTAGATCTGATTATTAGGTCAACTTGCTCAATTTAAGATTGATTAATTTGTATGATTAATTAAACATTCACAATCATAAATATAAAAACTTAAAAGTAAAGCAAGTTAAATTTAGAGAGATTGCATTAGAATTTTTAGCGAGGAAACCCAGTTGATAAAATACGTCAATTGTTTGCACGGGAAAAACTGTGGACTATTCAGTCTAAAGTAAACCGATCCACTATAACAAAGTACACCAAACTTTGACTCTGACTCACACCCTATTGTTCTACCAAACACTAATTGCTGACAATCCTCTGGCTTTGCGACTCCCCGTCAACAGCAACTTGACCTCAGGCTTATGCTTAATATTTGTAGAAGAGTAGCAGGTAGATTAGACAACATTCCGCGAATGCTCCAACCCTTTCAAAATGTGATCGCTTTTACTTCTATTCTTCAATATCTGAACTCGATGTAGAAGAATTAAATCCCGTTCTTCATTTGAAACCTCTGAATTTTCAATATAACTCCAATTCCAATGAGATAGATAACAACACCACTAAATCACTCATGAATATATGTGTAGGCTCTCATAAATAAATTCAGAATAATCATATTTGATTTTCTGAATTTTCTCTCTCTAAAAGGCTTTCACAAAATATAGAATTGATTTTCCCTAAAGTCGTAAATAAACCTATGTGTATGACAAGGATTATATAGAGTTTAGAATGTCCTAATCCTTCTGAAAATATGAGAAATTTCGTGCATAGGACTTGGAAAGAAGTTGGGATTAAAAAGGAATCAAACAACAAAAAGGAAACTGAAAACCATTTACTGCCAGGACTTCTTGAACCGGTTCAGAGTGGCTGAACTGGCTCAAGATGACCATTTCTCTGGTCATCTTGAACCGGTTCAGCCCCTTTGAACCGGTTCAAGATGGCCAGTCTTGAAAAATTCCCCACTCTTATAAAGTTGAACCTGTTTGATAAATCTTGAACCAGTTCAAGATGGACAGAATGTAAAATCTTGTTTAAAACCTTTCAAAACATTTCCTAAATGTTCTCACTACTCCTCAAAACTTCTTGTAGCATTGTTTTCATTATCTTGGAGTGTAGTATACCATGAACACTTGAAGTTTTTTAAATCCGCATCCGACCTTCAATCTTCAAAATTTTGAATCGAAAAATTATAACTCGATCGGACTTATTTTGATAACGAAATTACCCAATTACAAAAATATATATCTCACACCATTATAGGAGGAAAATAATTTCTCCAGCCTTAATGGGTCCCACTAAATGTATCTGAGGCCAATGTGCCCTTTGTTTAAAGTTTTTGGTGTTACTCTTCTATTAGAGTAACACTCACTCACTCCGAAGGAAGTGCTCAAATTTTTAATTTGAAAATCTGAATTTTAATAAAATGTGAAGTTAGAAAATATAGATTTTAATACACCATATAAATTTCAAATACAATCATATACTCCTTCCGTCCTAAAATACATAACCGATTTGGGAATTGTAATTCAAACAAAATGAGTCACAGTTGTGAGTCACAATTCCCAAATCGGTCATGTATTTTGGGACGAATAGTGTTCTTGTGACAGTGCCTTATTTGTACTCTCACTTTTGTATATATTGCTATAACCTAAAATTATTTAATTAAACAAAAAAGTTATGTGGCCTTTGTCAACCTAAAATGCTATTTCTCCTCATGCTATTCTTTTTCTTTATTTATTTTTTTTTCTTTTTGCAATTTGTATTTGAAACCTACAACTAATTTCTTAGATATAACTCAATGTATTTCATGCTGGAATGTGGATGTATAGTTCTTGAAGTAAAAAGAAATGAAACAAAGAAGGAATCTAATAACTTATAATAAGCACGTGCTTTTCATATATGTAGAGTCATAAAACATATGTTACTTGTAAAGTTCTATAATAGTATTTGGCCAAATGTATGTAGAATGTTTTTTGTAATTTTTTTTTGAAATAGATTGCAATACAAAATGATAGAGAATGTATTAGTTTACCCTATTAGAAATTTTAATATTAAAATATATTGTAGCCATGTGCACCTCTAAAAGTAAATGTCAATGTGGTTATCCATACTTGATATTATTAGGTTTTACTTGCCAATTTTAGTATTATATTATCTTAGTTTTTCAATTATATTGGGTGAAATTTAATCATGATTGTTGGTATTAAGTTTCTAAACTTCCCAGCATTTAGTGTTTAGGTATATATATTTATTTGTAGAAAAGTCATCCCACGTATTATGTTTACATATAAAGATTTCAAATCCTTCTGAGGCCCATCAATGGAGTAACTTTGGGGTAGAGCCCTCTAGTAGCTTTTTTTTTTTTTTTTTTTTTTTTTTGCAGGATCTTCACGGTATCTTTTCAAGAGTACTTTCTTCCTCTCAGTACACACATTTAAAAATCACTCTCTTCGTATTTACTTTTACACAATTGATTATTTAGTGTTTATTCTCAACATACTAATCTTTTTAGGTGTATGGTCACTAATGAAATTGTGAAAAGAAAATTAAGTGTAACAGTTGGTAAGAAAATTAAAGAGAGTAGATTTAAATGGCTTGGACATATAAATTAAGACACAGACATGCTCTAGTTAAATGAAAAATACTAGTTGTAATAGAATGTAAGAGATGGAGAGACGACAAAAAATAAACATGAGATGAAGTTAACTACAACAAATCATGGTATTACGAACGAATTTTTAGCAACAAAATCAAATTTGTTGTAAAACACTGTAATTTGCGACAAATTCAAAAATTGTTGCTTAATATGTATCTTTTTGCAACAAATATGTAAAATTGTCGTCTAATGTATAATGTTTTGCTACAAACTACAAATTTGTCACCAAAAGTTGAATTTAAGGTGACAATTATAAATTTTGTCTCAAATTGTGAACCTTTTCCCAAAAGAATTAAACTTTTAGTGACGAATATTTGTTGTAAATAAATATATTTTACGAGACAAAAGCAAATATTTACTTTTTTGCAACAAATATTTTATTTTGTCACTATGAATCTTTTTCCAACTATAGTATTATTTGTCCCAAAAAAAAAAAAACAAAACTTTTAATGACAAATAATTTGTTGTAAATAAATTGATCTTTAAGATAACATGGTTTTGTTGCATAGTTAATTTTTTTGAGGCAAATACTGAATTTTGTCGCCAATTGTTAGCTTTTTTGCGACAAATCGATCTCTATTTTGTCTCAAATTGTGAATTTTTTGCTAACAAAAATATTATTTGTTCCAAATAAAATTTTTTTGCTGACAAAATGGATTTGTCTCAAACAATTATTTTTTTGTGACAATTAATGAATTTTGTTGCCAATTGTTATCTTTTTTGCGACAAATATCTATCTTGTCTCAGATTGTGGATCCTTTTGTGACAACATTAATTTGTTGCAAAAAAAAAAAAAAAAAAAAAAAAATATTTTTGCAACCAAAATATTTGTTGCTATTGCAAAAAAGTTATTACTTATACTTCTATTTTGGTAAAAGGAAGGAAAAGTGTGAAGGGAATATACAAAAGAAACAAACAAACTTTATTACCGATGATTTGGACCCATTGCACAGGGAAGATGTTCAGTCAATATATGTTGACCTACCTAATGTTTTGCCAAACAATGCAACTTTTGACCAAATAAATGCTGATTTCATTACCGATGATGATAGTAGTAATAAAAATGATACATTGATTGACTATTGTGATGATGAGGAAGATGATAAATTGCAATCCTCTGAAAATGATGAGGAATATAAAGAATTAGTATCTACTGATAATGAAATTGATCGATATGGACTGAGTTATGTAATTTCATTTTTTTGTTTTTCCATCCTTGAAATGTATGTAATATAATTATGCTTCATACTACGTCAACAAGAAAGTAGTGGTATTATTTTTGTTACTTGTTTCCTACATATTTTG